CTGGGGAGGCAAATTATGTCCGTATTTTTTTCATAAAACTTCAAAGACTTTCTAATTTAAAATAATGTTAGTCTTACAAAACAATTGCGAAACTAGTGTGGAGAATTCTCATCTACCCATCACGCTGCTTCCCCAAATGGTAACCTCTTACAAAACCATAGTATAGTTACTGAAAGCAGGAAATGAACACTGATAAAAATACTAACTAATCTATAGTTCTTTATCAAATCTAGCCAATTATCCCACTAAAGGCCGTCAGTAATTCTTGCCTGCAACAGTTATTATTTGGTGCCTGTCTCATGATTTTCTATTTCTATCATCCCTTCTACATTTATTGGAATTCCACTGTAAGGAAGAGCTGTCTCTTCTGAGCTCTTTATTATTCATTCAATTATTTATTTGTATCAGTATGGACTCATGGATATGTATTTTATTCTATGTGTTAATAATTCATTCCTATTATTACTTATTTTTTTGCCCAAACTGTTGCACACTGTGCTACTGAAAGCACATTCAAGTTGGCGCCTGTATCCTTTTGATTCGCCCCATCAGTTTTTCAAAGCACATCCTTGTTTGCTAGCACTGGAGGACATTCCCAGTTCATCTTGTGTATTCTGCCTCCAGCCTGTAATCAGACATTTCTCCTAGAAGCCCTCATTTCAGTATTGTTTCAATGTTACATTTTTAACATTCTATTCATACTTTTTGAAAATTACTATTTGAATTGTGGAAGATGTTTATGTAGGAGATATTAGATATTTTCCTACCATCTACATTACCTGATTAATTATGAAACATGGGTCCACCAACATGTCAGATTACAAAAAGCATGTTCTGCATTGTTACATATGGTATAAAAAAATGGGAAGCCAAAGATCTGCTTGCTCTTTCTTGGTTCTCTATTTCTTTTTTTGCACCTAACCGCAGAGTCAATATCTTTTAGACATTTCCTTGATATTAGACTTTGTTGTTTTTAAAAAATTCTTTTCTCCCTCATATAGGTTTTCTCTGACATTCCTCTTCTGCAGTTTAGCTCCACATTGACCTAAATTCCTCTGTCCTCATATTTCATCCAGACACCTCTGCTCTTTGCTGAATTCCTGATATCTCTGTTTCTCTGACACTGGTGTCAATTTTCTAGTCAATTCAGGAAATATATACAGTTCAACACTGAGGTGGACTGGAAAGTTTCTTGGCCTAAAACTAAGGGATCTAAAGGCTTCCATCAAATGTATCCCAGTCATACACTTCTTTTCTAACTAGAGTGTGTGTGTGTTTCTTACAGAGATTGATTTCAGATTCAAAAACTAATACGTGGTGGGTTTTTCTTTTGAAATTCACAAATTTTACTTCTCAAAATCTATTTCATATGATCACATTTTAATAACCTGATTTATTTTATCTATTAAAGTTCAGTCTTCATCATATGGTAACCTGGAATGAGAAATGGAATGTTTTTAACTCTCTAATTTGAAATAATCTTATCCTTACAAAACTGTTGAGAAACTAGTACAGAGTGTTCTCATGTACTCTTTACTCGGGTATGAGTGTGATTTCCTTATATCTTGTGTTTCATTACATATTACATCTGTGATCTTCACACTCAGAATTAGTAGGGCCCTATGACCAACATTTGTTGGGGAACACCTTCATTGATTTCCCTTGACTTCTACCAATTACTCTCAGATTTTCCTTGGGGAAAACCACCCCTGTGACATTCTCAACCACATGGTTTAGAGGGAATGGCATGCTTTTTGCTGTTGGGCTGGGCACTGATGGGCTTCGGCCTGTCAGATTTTGGATGTGTAGCTTGGCTGAAGGGTGTGTGCTTGATACTACTTAGGTTGTTGAGATGCATGGAGACTTTCATTGAGGCTGATGGAAGAGAAGTTCTGTATTCAGTGGGAGCCCCTAGATGGTATACTCTGACCCCTACAGTCATATTTGTTAAAACCGGGGCAGCCTGCCCAACTGTGAAAATGACACATGTCCATTCTTCCTTAAATAGATTATGATATCCTTGGCACTATGCGTTAAACTCTTACCTGGCTTTCTGATCTTTATGCAGGACATTGCATTTCTATTTTGCTATCTCTGAGGATCTACTCTATGCCAAGCTCAGGCCTACATCTAGTTCTCAATGATTGTGGAATTTATGAATTGTATTTAACATACTACCTGTATTAGTTTTCTATTGCTGAATAACAAATTACCATAAACAGCACCTAAATAAGTATCCATGCATCAGAAACCTGGGCACAACTCAACTGTGTTCTCTGCTCAGGGTCACACCAGGCAGCAATGAAGGTGTCAGCTGGGCTATGTTCTCTTCTGGAGCTTGACTGGGGCAAAGTCTGCTTCTAAGCTCATTTGGCTTGTTGGCAGAATTCTTGTCCTGGGACAGAATGACTGAGGGCCCCAGTTTTTTGCTGGCTGTTGATTAAAGGCTACACACAGTGGGCCTCCTTAAGCCAGGAAGGAAAATCTCTTGTTCTAGTCTGCCAAACATAGTCTTATATAATGGAACAACCACAGAGTGACATCCATTCACTTTACCATAGCCTACTGGCTAAAAAACAAGTTATGCGTTCCATTTGTACTCCACGGTAGGGGAACACGAAAGCGTGGACATCAGGAGGTGGGGAATCATTGTGAGTCACTGTAGGGTCTGTCCTCCACACTACCTTAAACATTCGTGTTTAAAGGGTCCTCTTTTAGCTCCATAATTGGGTTTTATATCTCTCAACATACTATCTCCTATAGAATTCAGTTGGATTTTTTAAAGTATAGTTACATATCTGTCTTTCCACCTCAGGAAAGAGATTGAGTTTACTTGAAATTTCTCTTTATGATGACTTACATTTTCATTAGGTTATATCTTTTTACAAATACTTATAAAATGATTCTTGGGGATATATTTAAAATTTCAAAAAATACTTTTATGTTTTTTTGATGACATTTAGAAAGCAGGAGCTCCTAGGGTTGCTTGCATTAGAAATTTGATGTAAATGACTTCTAACCAATCCAGAACCCCGCTGAAAAGAATTCCAAATAGGATGTACTTTTTCCTACAGATATTTCATTGCAGTTCTAATAGCTGGCCTTCTACCGGTTATTTTGTTTACTAATAGAATGTTGCTAAAAAATAAACACATTCCTTTCCCAAATGTAATTTTAACATTTCTTAACAGGGACCTGTGACAGTTAGCCAGATTTTTCTTTATGCTGAGTGGTTAGACATGACTGTCAGATTTATCAATATTCACTTGGCTAGTTAATTACAACAAAATATCCATTTGGAAGATAATTAAGAGCTAAAATTAGGCAGATAAATAATCAACAACTCTGAAACCATTTCCAACCAATAAATTAATTTTTGCATTTTGCAAATAAATAAAATTTTGCAAATAACTATATATTTTCATATTTTTTATGTTTGACTTTATATTTGCCAATTATATTCCCCCATGTTGTTTATGTAGACTATGAATGTCATGGTTTATAGCTACAGTACAATGAGATATCTTAGTTTTTTCTTTTACAAAACCTCTTAAGTTGGCTAACTTATTCCTATCTTTACCTGTGTTTTAAAAATTGCTTTGTATAGTTTGTTTGACCTTCTATAGGCATCAGATCTTAATTTCTTAACACACTGGAAAATGTTACAGTTTTGAGTTGTTTACATATAAACAATCTGTCCTTTATATTTTTTTTCAGTAAGCTATTCAAAGCACTAGTTTATGAAATGGTATTCAAAGATATGGGCCTGTAGAAAAATCTCTCCTTAGCTGCTGTTTGAAGTTTGGGCACTAGGTGGAGTAGTGGTTCTACTGATAAACAAATGTACTGCCGGACTCAAGAGCCTTGGTATTTGCACTGGAAAGACAAATGTACCTATAAATGTGTTGTTCGAATTTTCTTCTCTTGCAAACTACTAGTCCTTGAGAAGCAATATTAGATGAATTACTTTTTGTTTTTAGCTACTTAATGTTTACTTACCTTCCAATCTATTAAAACCATTATTGGACTGTTTTGTTAAATGAAAATCCAGTCCTCTTGGGGTGAATTGTTTTCAAAATACAATTGATTGTTAAGTACAGTAAGTTTCCTAAGTGGATATTTGTTTCCAATTTAGAAAAATCAGCCTGTGTCCAGTCTGTGACAATTGTTTGTAAAGTGTTTAGAAACTTATTAAGAGTTGCTGTTTTCAGCTCATAAGGCATAATCACATTTCTGGAATGATATATGTCTGAGAAGGTCAATGCCCTGGGCTAAATTGAATCTCTTTTAGATTGATGTCCAACAGAGCTAATGTAGATGTTATGATCTATATATCCATAGGGTTTTTTTCTTTATGTTCACTGGCCTCTCCAAATTTGGTGTCTTCACATTCGATTTCTCTTTTCTGTGATGGGATTTGTGATCCAGACCAGATTCTTTTAGTTACCTTTGAATCATACAATGCCCCAGGCTGACTGGTGCAAGATGCTGCCCCATGGCAGTCGGTTCTCATGACAGGACTTTGGAAGGTCTCTCTTCTCCCCCATTTTTTGGATTACATATTTTACAAGTCACAGGGTATAGTTTTCTATTTCTGAAAAAGGAAATTTGCTGAATTGCATTCATTCAGAAAGGAACTGTTTAAAAATACCAGAAAACAAAATGTTTAGCAGACTTTAAGTTTGTTTATATTTAGAATAGCATTCATTACTACTTAAACAGCTTCAAGTGAAAGGTTTATTTAGCTTTTCAGTTTTAGAATGTAATTTGAAAGAGGTAATACTTGTTCTTTTTAAAGTCAATAACCTGAAATTCTTGAATAGGACCAAATTTTCTATGACGCAGCTTATATGGGAGGTATACACTGCTTAAAACACTGTACCTCACACACAAATACAAAAACCAAAACACTTCTGCATCAAAAATTACATATTTATTTCCTTTAATTTTGATGAGATGCCCATTTCAGAGTCTGTGATTATACTTTATAGTTAGGTGAACTTTTTTTTTTTGAGAAGTTGAACGGAATTTAAAAATAACTTTTGATTTTGAAAGTCGTATTTTAAGTCCACCAAGAATTTGGTTTTGGTTGATCTTCTGGTAAAAGGAAGAATTAATCAATCTGTTTTCTGTTTGTGTGCAAAACCTGTGTTAGGCAACATGGATCATTTTGTCTGGTTCCCTGGTTCCTGCCCCTGGGTACTCAGTCAAGGGCATCGGCATTTTAAAATAAAATTTACATAAAATAGGAATTAAATCAGGATGCTAAGCAATATAAAAGATGAGAAAGGGGCTATAGGAGTAGTCATAGGAATTGGGAAAGGCTTTGGAAGAAGGGAACAGTTTCATGTGAATGTGTTAATCCATCCTGTGTTAAACTTTGTCTAAGATTTTGATTTTTTAAAAAGGAAGGTGTGGAAAAAAACCCAAGCAGAAGAAATGAGATGGGCAGAGGCATTGAGATGAGAAAGCACCAGGTGACTTTTTCAGTTTGGCTGGAATCCCAGGGCAGGGGAATAGGAGATGAAGCCAAAGGGGTACATTGAGACCCTAATGTCCAAGGCCTGGAACTGCTGTGAGGAAGGAACAGCTAAAAATGTTTGGGTATCAGAGTGACATCCTGAAAATTATGTTTAAAGGAGATTCATCTGGCAATCATGTAATAGATGGGGGAAAAGGAGAGAGTCAGGGAGACCATGAAGCACCTACTTAAGTGGCTTAAATTATGAAATAATCAGAATCTCAGCAAAGGTTTAAGGAGTGCAACTAGAAACAAAGGATACATGGGAGGTATGGCAAGGGAAATGTGGATAGAGATGCAATGTTATAATGTACTGTGCGGGTAAGGCCTTTGTCTTTCTAAATTAACCCAAGTAACCCCATCCCTCCTTGATTTGCCAGCACTGATGAGAACTCCAGGATCAGTCTGCTTGCCAGCCGCCCTCCTCCTGTGGGTTGAACCAGCAGCAGTGCGAGCACGATTGGAGAAGCCTCCTTCTCTGTCCTTTTTGGTCTCCATCACTGTTGGTCCTTCACTGACCATTGCAGTCCCATGCAGGGCCCTGTGGCTGCTAGAGACGTCCCCAGGCCTGCTGGCCTCACCGTCTAGGGCAGGGAAATCAGAGTCAGATTTACCTATTCCCCCTTTTCAATGCAATATCATCCTCCCCCTTGGATGACCTACTTTAGTTCAACTCTTGTTGGCTCTTGACTTTTCTCAGGGAGGCGAGGGAGCCTGAAACGTAAGACAGCAAATCCCTGGCCCTAGGCTTTCTCTGTGGGAAGGGCTGAGCAGGCTAACGAAGTAAGGATGTGAGATCGTTCATTGCACAGGAGCATTGACCACAGGAGAGTATGTGGCCTGAAATCGAGCCTGTAAACAGCTTGCCAGGTGGCAAGCTGCCAGGAGGAAAAGGCACCCTTTAAAATTTTTTGCATAAAGAAATCACTTATTGGCTAAGGGAGATCTTGGCTGAAGGCAGGAAAGCATTTTCACTGGTGGGGGTAATAAGTCATTAGTAGAAAACATCAATAAAAACCCAGAAAAATATAAATTTCAGCAAATTACTCTGTTATGTGTATAGTTTTTTAAGTAGATTTTCACATGTAAGATTTGAATCAGGGGATATGGTAATACTAATTAACATCCAAGAAATTTTATTAGACTATCTCCAAAAATTTTTTTAAGATCCATTCATGATATGTTCACTAGCCATATATATTTTTTTAATATTAGCATTGGATATACACGTGGTAATTTGACAATTATATACATTATGAGATGCTCACCATGGTAAGTGTATCAGTCACCATAGTATTATCCAGGGCCTTCAGTGTCAAGGATGATGGTGGGAACTGAGGATCAAACAATAAATTGATTAGCTTGGCTCCTGGCTTTACCCCTTCACTCTCAGGGTGAAGAAGGACAAGAAAAGGGACATGTGAACAAGTGTAGTGAGAAAGCATGGTGAGCCCACATGTCAGGCAAGATCTCAGAGGGGGAGCTTGTTTGTAGGGGACGCAGTAAGGCCTGGGAGGACAGGAGGGAAAGGACCTGCGCCCCAGGTAGTGGAATCTGCTGTTGACTAGAGAAGTTCCTTTTCCACTGCGGCAAGAGGAATGGTAGGAAGGATGAGTGGGTGTGTGAGTGCTCATAGCCTATTGCTGAATAACAAATTACCCCAAAATGTAGCTGCTTATAATGTTACATGTATTACTTCTGTGGGTCAGGAGTTCGACATACTTTAGCTAGGTCTCCTGGCTCAGAACCTCTCAGATTGCCGTCCAGATAGGGACCAGGGCTGTGACTGTCTCCACATTCACCTTGGGAAGGAGCCATGTCTAAGTCCACTAACAAGGTTGTTGGGAGGATTCCTTGTTTGTGAGATGTTGCACTGAGGACCTTAGTTCCTCACTGGCAGTCCTCCAGTCGCCCCCTCAGTTTCTTGCCAGCCGGGTCTCTCCATAGGGCAGGGCACAATGTAGCGGAGTGAGCCAGAAAGAGGCGAGAGAGAGCAAGCAAGATGGAAGTCATAGTTTCTGTGTCCCCTAATCTCAGAAGTGATGTCTCATCACTTTCGCTGGACTCTGTCCATTAGAAGGGAGTCGCTTGGTCTTGCCAACACTCAAAGGGAGGAGATTGGCCAGGAGTGTGGACACAAGGAAGTGGGGACCATTAAGGACCACCTGAAAAAGCTGCCTACTGCTGCACTGAGGTCAGGTTGAAATTTGGTGGCACGAAAGCTAAAGGTGTTCTTCCCTGATGGCGTCCATTTTTTCTGTGAGGCAGGAGGACAATTCTTTAGTTAAGGGCTATGGAGGGAGTCACTGTTTCCTGGAGAAGGTTTGAAATTATTGTTGTGCATCAGGGAAGAGAGAATTAACTATGGAGATTTTAAGAATTGCTAAGCAGTTTAAAGCAACCCAGTACAGAATTTGCACAATCTGCATGGATTATGTGGATTTTCCCAGAAGCTCGGGGGAAGATGTGAAAAAGGCAGACTGCTGGCATCACAGAGTTTGGTTCTTCTGATCGGGCAGCTGAAGGGCAGTAGGGCAAGGCAGGTGAGTTGGGAATGGTGACGTATGGACTCTAGGGTGTCAACTGGACAGGAAGGAAAGATATGACTGGAAGTGTTAGATGGGTAGAAAGGAGTAATCACAGGTCTGAAAATACCAAAGAGGGAACTGAGTAAGAGAATTGGAAATAAGGAGATTGTGGTCTAAGAGGAACATGATGGCATTCAAATGTATTAAAGGTGGTGCCATTGATGTGGCAGGAAAGGTGCCCCGGGGGGGGGGGGTGGCTGTCGGAAGGTGAAGACAAAGGTCACTGAAGGTCAGAAGTTCAAATAACTGGGGGGGGCGCTAAGATGTTGGTTAGGTCACCCACATAAACACTGAAATGGCACGGCATGATGAGAGGACTTGCAGCAAAGGTAAAACTGTGAGCTGGGTGCTGACACTTCCGAGGGCGGGAGGGTGACAGGAGGCCTAACGAATGCAGACGGGACTTTTGGCAAAATGCAGACCAGATATTCTGAAAGATGCATCCATTATAGAGTACCTACAAATCAGAGAGTCAAAAATAGATATATCCCTTTAAATGGCTTCCTGAAATTTCAAAAAGAGGTAGGAAATCCCTTGGGGCCAAAACCAGAGGGAGTTGCACACTAGAGTGACAAACAGGCACGAAAGCGTCTGCCAACTTTTACCAGTATCCCAGGGCTGTGGCTGAAGTCGCTAGTCTCCAGGCAGGAACAAAGGATGAGGGTTCCCTCTACTGATTGTGGCATGAGCCCTGTAGATGGCCTTGACTGACCTGGACAGCAGGGGTGGGAAGTGTGAAGAGGAGTCCTACGAGCCATTCTCCCCCATCTGCCTGACCCCCAAGTCCACTTTAATGAGTGTGTTTTGTCTCTGCAGTAAATACAGAGACGGCAAGGCAGCCCCCTGGGCGTTGGCACCAGGGCCTCAGGTTTAATGCCTCATGTGTCACATACACGTCAGGCCAAGGGTGGCACCCTCAGTAAAAGGGAAAGCTACAAAGCAAAAATCTGTCATTGAAGGGAGTAAGGAAACTTAGCTGTATTCTCCTGGGCTATGGACTGAAAAAAAAAACCTTCTATAAAAACTGATAACCATAATCCTGCCACCATGCAGTTTGGGACTAGAATTTATGCTACTTGTTTAGGTCTGGAAATGTGAAGCCAAACAAATGACTTGAGGTGGCTCTGGCCTGGGGGCACCTGGGCACCAGGTGTAATCCAGAGCAAATCCTTTCTGGAACTGGAGTCTCAGCCCAAGCTTCATGCCATTCCCACAAAATGCTCAACAAATGAAAATTACAAAGTACTCTAGGAAATGAGCCACAATTATAGGGAGTCAGAAGGAAAACAAGGTAGCAAATTTAGATTCCAAATGATCAGGTATAGACAACGGACACCAGCAGGAGGAAGCAGGTCATTTGATTTGATGGGAGTCACCTGGAAAATAATTTGGCTGTTTACTTAAAAACCTTAAAAACTTTCATTCTCTTTTATTGAGCAATTTGTTTCCTATAACCTTTTACTAAAGAATGATCATATATGATGTAAAATGATATTCATCATAGTGTATTTATAATAAAAAAAAGTTGGAAACATCTTCATATCCAAGAATAGGGCAATGAATAAGTAAGTAACAGAAATTGTGAAGTACTATTTGTATGTATGAGAAGTCTTAATGAATGGAATGTGCTTACAATATATTAAGAGATAAGAACAAGATGAAAAACTTTCTGTTAAATATGGCAGTGTTCAGCTCCCCAAGTTATATAAGCTAAAGAAAAAATATTTAATTCTGTTTAAACTGGTATTTGATATACTCAGCCTTGGCATAAAGGGCATAGGAAAATTGATGGGCTTGCCAAGATTTTGTTGAAGAATTCAGCTGTATTGAAAGAGAAAATTCTACAAAGAATTTAAGTATAAGAATATAAATAGTAGTTTACACAGACAGACTTTAATTTCAAACTCTGATGTACTTAAAACATGAAGTCAACATTCACATACTTGAATTAGAAACACCATACTGAATCTTTCTATTTTGGATATGAAAATTTCTCTGAGAATTTGGGAGTTAGCAAATTTCTGTGCCTGAATTTGAATGTAATTATGTATCAACTATTTATACCATAAGAGCCAGAATATGGGCCACTTAGGTACCAATGATTTCACCATGACTCACAACAGCAATAAAGAGCATTCCTCTACAGCCCTTTCATCTCTATGAATTGAGAAGATTGAATATTTTTTACTGAACAGTGATTTAGTCAATGAAAGCACTTGTCACACCACACAGGGGTGGGTCACAGACTGGGAACTAACAGTCCTCCTCAGATTGGAGTTCATTTGTAAGATGCACAGAACCATCTACAAATAAAACACAATCCCTTTCTTATGTTCGAGGTTGATAGAGCATTGGTGAATACTCTCAAGTTTTATTCTAAAGTTGCCAACTGGCACAATGACGTGTTTGCATTTTGCTCAATCACAAAAGCAGGGAGCCTGGCAAGAACTTACGAAATAAATGTTTATTGAATTTGTAACTTTATATGTCACACATACTGTGTTAAGTGCTATGGATACAAATTTTTAAAAGACATGGTTCCTGACCTCAAGGAGATTATGATGTGGATTAAATGAAGCCATAACTGTAAAGAGACTGGTAGGTATTAGGGGGCCAATAAAAATTAGTTCCTGTTCCTTTAGGATAATAAAAGACATATTTTTAATATTTAGCTTAGCATAATGGTTAGAATGTGAGCTTTGTCATCCAATTGCCTTGATTCAAATACTGGCTCTCCTCCATCCTCGCTGTGTGATCCTAGGTGAGCTAGCAGATCTCTTGCAGTTTCTTCATCTGTAAAATGGGTATAATTATCATACCTACATTATGCAGTTGTTATGAGGGTTATGAGTTTAGCATACTACCTGGCACTTAGGAAACACCCTAAAGGGTTAGCTACCATTTTAATAGTTTAGTCACAACTTGGGATGGAGGGTAAGGATATTTTGCAAGCAGGTTCTTCTGTACAGAAAGACAGTGATCATGAAAACCCAAATACCTCATCCCATACAGGACAGCCTACGCCTTAGTGTTAACAGGCTCTTTGCAAAGGGACAGAATAGTCTTGTTTCTGGGAGCCACTTGCATTCCGTTGGTTATAATCAGACATGGATATGGGTCAGTTTCATTTTTTCCCCATGCAAAGTTTGATTGGACCATTGGTCATTTGGTAGATCAAACCTTCTAGAGTAGCATACAGTCTCCTGTAGGTCTCTCATCAGTAGCTCCTGACTGCAAGGACAGTTCTAGGAGGACCATTGCTGGCAAAGCCCAGCTCTCTGGAGCCTATGGGAACTTTGGTGGTGGCTCAGAATGACAGCTGACATGAAATTATTGTCTCCATTTTGCTTATTTGGTAATAGGATCCTTGCTTAGAAGGCTTGATTTTTGAGTTGCAAAAAATCTCTCTGGACCCAGTTTATGTAAGAATTTATAGTAGGAGTGGGATCCTTTAAACAGCTTGAGTGGTCTGGGGCCTCTTATTACTCCTTAACCTGATGTCCAGTTCACCTTCCAGTACCAGCTCTGCAAACAGCAGCATCAATACGCAACTCCTGCTTTGTGTGAGGCCATGGGAAGACTATTGTCTGATCTGCTCCTTGGTGTGATGTAACAGTGATTGTTGTCAATTGTTGAGTGCCATAATAGGTGTGAGGTAGATATATAAGCAGTAAAACACTGTCTTAGCTAAGAAGTTTATTACCTGTTGGCCTATCACAGCACTTAGGTCATAGCAGACTCTCCAT